CCCCAGGCTGCCTCTGTTTTTATTCCCAGAGGACATGTTTATGTAAATTAAAAATCCAGAAGAATCTAGAAATTAACTAATAGAATTGCAAAGTTGCTGGTAAGAAAATCAGTATTTAAAAATTAACTGCATTTGAATATAACAGCATCAAACAGAACTGCCTTGTATAAGAGATGCCATTATAATTGTGTCAAATATATAAAGTACTCAGGCCTACAACTAACATAAAACTATGGACTTCTATGGAGAGCATTTTAAAACTCGCTTGAGAGATGTTAAGGAAGATCTAAATAAAGGACGAAATATGCCATGTCTGCATGGTTGGGAAGATTTGCTCTTGCAAATCTGTCACATCTCCCTGAGATTCCGTATAATCCCAATCAAATGGAATGGGGCCTGACAAGATGATTCTGTAATTTAGATGGAATCGCAAAAGCAAAGAATGGACAAGACCAAGACCCCAAAACAGCATGGGAAGATGGGCTACCTAACACCAAGGTCTGTTTTAATGCTACTGTAGCAGACGGTAACACATCGGCCCCGATACACATAAAGTAACCAAAGGAAAAGGGCAGAAGGCCCAGAAATAGATTCACTCAGGACTAGAGACTTGATAGGTGACTGATGAGGAACCGCAGTGGATGTGGTGAGGATGGATTTTTCAACAAATGGTGCTAGAATACATACACAAAAGGAAAGACGAAACTGGAGTCTCACCTAAGACGATACCCAGAAACAGGAACTTCACAAAAGAAACAAAAAAGCCTATAAATATATGGAAAAGTGCTTAACGTCATTAGAAGTTTGGAAAACACTACCTGAAACAACAATGAAACAGTATCATAAACCCAATCGTACTGGCAAAATTTATAAGTCTCAAAACCCCGAGTTGTGGCAATGGTCTGTAAAGAATGGAAATCAGAACGACCACTTAAAACACTTTTTTGCCATTTACCCTATAAAAGTTGAAGCTGCACCTACCCCAGAAGCCTGCCACTCTCCTCCACAGTCCGCTGGTCCTGCAGAGGATTCAGCCCCAGTGCCCTGAAGCAGAGGTTCTCAAAGTGTGGTCCCTGGCCAACAGATCCAGAACCATCAGGGTCTCAGAAATACAAACCCAGGGCCCCTGCCAGCCCTCCTAAACCAGACCCCTGATGTGCAGCCTGGGAGTCTGTGCTTTCACCAGCCCTCCAGGTGACTCTGCCTTAAACTGAAGTTTGAGAACCATCTCGCGAGGCATTCAATGTATGGAATGAATTCATTTCTCTCCTTCGCGTCCAGAATGGTACTCGTTACGCACCATTCTTGAGAGAATTGAGAAAACAGTCACGCAGATCATTTCCTGGTCTGTGGTTCAATGAGGAACCGGCTGCAAAACTCTGCAGACACCCACACCTACGTGCACTGGCTGTTCTTACCATCACCCCCAAAGTAGCCCCAAACTGGAAACGCCCCAATGCACACCCAGCGAAGACAGGTACCACACCCTCCATACCATGGAACTCCATCCTGCTGTGAAAGCAAACTCTAGCCTCATGCAACACAGGGAGTTTCAGCCCCAACCATGCTGACCTGCAAGTCACGAAAGGTACCACCCAGTAGGATTCCATAAATGATTAAGAAACAGGCAAAATAGACTGGTAGGGCTGCATTGCGGGTGGCGAGTCAGGCTAGCAGTTGTGCCTGGGGGAGGGGTAGGGGGGTGCGACCAGGAGGGGCTCAAGAGGCAGAGCTCTTTCTGGAGCAGGTGAATTCGCTCTAACACATTACAGGTACTTGTGTGTTTATCTCACAATAAAAAGAAAGAAAAGCTTTTAGGTGAAAAGCTAAAAATAGGCCATAGCCTGTTTGTATTATTTCTCATCAAACAGTATTCAGAATATATAAACAAATACCTTTAAGAGAATGAGTTGGTCAGAAAACACATTGGAGAAAATGGCCAAGGTACCTGAGCATCCATCTCATGAGTGATCCTGGAGGCAGAAACCGAAAGGCCCCGCGGGGAGGGGCTGGGCGCCCGCTGCCCCCTCCCATCTCAGCACTGCCACCCTCCAGCCCGCCCGCACCCCGGCAGCCTCTTCTCGGGCACTTGCTTCCCTGGGCGGGGGGGACACGGCAGCCCACCCTCCTCCACCCATGGGAGAACCCCCAGCCCCACAGGGCCCTTGGCAGACCTCAGAACTTCTCCAGTATTGGAGGAATGTAGATCATTCCAACCTGAGAAACTTGCATCAGTTCCACGTGTCTCCCTATTAGCAGCACCTTCCAGAGGCTGAGTGCGCCCCCGGGTGACTCACCACCTCCACCAGCAGCTCTCAGCCGCAGCGCCGGGAGAACTTCCTGGGCACCCCACTCACACCTCACACCCGCACACGTTTTCACTCTAATCACATGAGGCAACTGTCCTTTTTCCCTTTTATTTTCAGGAAGACGATGGATTGCTTTGACCGTTTGTACACCAACAGTCACAGAGGTTAAAGGATTTTGGGGAGCTGCTCGAATCCAGCTTGTGGAGACTGAAAAGTGATGTTGCTCGTATAGTGAAAGAGAAGAGAGCGTGTTCGCTGCATCCTGGATAGTGTGGGCTCACCGACCGAAAACACCTGAGCTGCGGGAGAAGCTGGCTTGTGCAGCCCCCGAGCTTGATGAACTTGGCTCTCAGCTGAGCTGTGCACTCAATGTACCCAACCCATTTCTCGTACTGTTTCTGTCCTTCAGTTTGATTTCAAATCATGTAAAAATGAATCCACAACCAGGGTGAAGGTGAGCTGGGACTGGACTCTCTCGGGCTAAATCCTGTTTAATCGGTCACTTCCCAACTGCAGTTTGAGGGAAGTGCCTTCCCCTCGCCAACTAAGCCTCTGGTTCCTTATAGGGGAATGACAACAGTACTAATTGCAGATGGTTAACGAACATAAAGAAATACAGGGGCGCCTGGGTGGCTCAGTTGGTTAGGCGTCTGCCTTCGGCTCAGGTCATGATCTCAGGGTCCTGGGATCGAGCCCCACATCGGGCTCCCTGCTCGGGGGAAGGCCTGCTTCTCCCTCTCCCTCTGCCCTTCCCCTGCTCATGCTCTCTCTCTCTCAAATAAATAAAATCTTTTAAAAGTATATAAAGGAATATAAAGCACTTAGAACAGTGCCTGGCACACTGAAGCAATTGAGAAGCATCGGTATCTTTACAGTAAACAGTTTGAAAGTTCAAATAAAGCTGTTTTGATACATTTCTTGCTGTCAGACCTGGAGACAAATGGTTATTTCAAGCCCCTCATTTTGTATCCTTGCTCGGGACAGAGTTGATATTCTGTCTCCGCAAGTTTATCTGCAAACTGTCCCGCATGCACAGCAGAGTACGGTCTGCTGGTCTGCCGGGGTCAGTCAGGCCCAGGTGGGATCTTGGTTCCACACAGAGCTGCCTGCCCGGGCTCCGCCGAGGGCCGACGAGCACCGAGCACAGGGCGCTCTGGGAAAGGCTGATAGGGACGGCACTACTACTACTACCGAGGCTCCGTGAGCACAACATGGCAGCTCATGTGTCCTTTGTTACAGTCCCATGAGTTTGGCACAGTTACCTCCATGTTGAGGCTTGAAAGGATAAATGAACAAGGCCTGTCCAGGTCTCTGTGAGTGGGCGGTGGGCTGACCCAGGAGGTGGTGTTCCTGTGGCAGAACTGCCCCCGGGGGGGGGGGGGGGGGAGGCCGCTGGGCTGATTTGCATAAGAAACCAGGAAGGAGGAAACAGAGGCAACAAGCCCAGTCCTTGCTCCCTCAAGAGTAAAGTTAGGGAGATCAAACAGGACACCGAAACTCCACTGGCAGGACAGGCTAGCGAGGGCTTCCAAAAGAAGTCTCCCTAGGAAGCTGGGGAATCTGGTGATTTCTGCTTAGTAACAGGTCCCAAGGGCTTATCAGGGAGGCTTGGGTTTTCCCTGCAGCTCAGGTTTGGGACTAGGACACACATCAACTAAAAAATAACCTGAAAGCTTGCAGCCTGAGTGTGGAGCTTCGCATGGGGACGGCAGGGGCCCGGGGTCTGCAAAGCCGCATGGAGTCCCTGAGAGCCTGTCAGTGAGGCAGACCAGCAGTGAGGCCCCAGGAAGCAGGAAAGGTTTCTATCCCTTGGACTGAGCCTCAAAGTTCTCTAACAATTTGCAGAAATAACTGCAGAAGGAATGTACTTCCAACTAGAGGAGCCTTGGGGGTTACAACGAAAATCTGGATGAGACACACTTGTACACAGGTTGTATACACATCAGTGTCCACTCTAGAGCCGGACACGGCACACATTGCCAAGCTGCAAAGAACACTGACAGCATGCAGTTTCACCCAGTGGCTCCCATATGCACATCTAAACCACTGATTCTTGCAGGCCGCGGGGGCCCACCGGGGAGCCCACTGTTGCATTAGGATTCTGCCATGTGGCTAGTCGTGAGATCTGCTGCTCCCATACACCTTCCTGATTTTAAAGAGGATAAGAACTTTTCTAAGGGCCCACCAATGAGGGCACAGCTGAGCCTAGTTCCCAACCTGGCCGGGCAGAGGATGGACGAGACCCCAACACCACCACCACCACGAACCTCCCTCTTCAAGTTAGATCCCCCCTCAGTACAGGCAGCACAGAAGGGTCCCTCCACATGAATAAGGTTTCTATCTACGTCACACTTCTCAGTGAAGAGTAGAAATTTCATAAAAGCAGTGGCCGTCCTCTTTATGTAATGAATGGCACAGAAGACTATTGTATGTGTTTATTATATGCTTACTACAAAAGGAAAAGTCCTTTGCCTTATTTTCGGGCTTCAGTGGAAAACCTAGTTAAAATACAAAAAATAGAGAAAAATTCTGGTCAGGCAGTGAAAATCAATAGAAACTGGCCAGCTAGATCTTTAAAACCAATCGCAGGTACAGAACCGGAGAAAAGAAATGACAGGCCCAATTCTAGCAATACCCGGGCCAGACCCCAACTCAAATACCTACACAGGTCCAAACACAAAACCACTGTTCCAAGTGACAGCCCTTTATTATTCAACTTAGGTAATAGTCAAAAAATCAGTGTCTGTGGGTGAAAAACTAGGCTAAAATAGCAAAAAATGCAGTTTCATTTGGCAAAGGCCCGAAGAGTATGTAGAGAAACTTAGAAGGGTGAGGTCCCGTTCAACACCATGGCAAAAGGAGAGTGGCAGTTACCGCCTCCCGTGACCACCAGCCTGAGCACCTCATCTGAGGCCTGTCAGCAGCACAGAGGGAGACCCCCACCCCAGCCTCTGACCTGCCAGCTCATGTTTAAAAATTGACCATGAATTCTTCAATGAAAGAGTCAAAGATTAGTTCTCTCTCACAAGCAATAAAATCACAAAATCAGCTAATATTTGAAATTTAGGATAAGCTAGTACAATTTCCTGCTTTTAATGTGTACATATTTTAGATTTGACAATCTTTTTCACATATAGTCAGACAGGATATAGAAGAATTTCAAATTTCAAATTAAAAAAAGCCGTTAATTCATGCATTTTATGCCTTCAGGTAATTCTTCAACTGTTTAGACTTCAGAGCTGCTAATCACACTAAATTCAATGCCGCGTTGGTTGAGTCTGTCAATCAACTTTGTTCTGGAGAAGGCTGCTCCAGGGGTGAAGACCCCGCCCCTGTAAGACGAGAACAAGGTCAAACCCTGCACAAAGCAAGCTCCAGCCCTCTCCTCTGGGAGTGTGATTCGCTGGAGGACTAGCCATCAAGCCATGCAGAGAACTCATGAAAACCATCATTCCATCATGGACTACTTTGGGTTCCTTTCTTAAAATAAGCCAAATGAGCAAAGGAGCTATAAGCCAGCAAGAAACTAGCACCCAGCAAACCCATCTAGAAGGGCTCAGCTCCCAGGAGACTGTCTCCGTGGACTGCTGAGTGTTCGACTGAAGGTCATCAACCTAAGGGACTGCTGCTGTCGGTAGAGGCAGTCCTCAGACTCAGGAGGACAAAAACTGAGTGAAATAAATTTAGGCAATACATTATATGAAAGCATAAATAAGACAAAGTGGATGAAAAAAGTTTCTTTAAATCTAATGACTAACATTTGCTAAATATTTTCAAAGGGTATACAGTTGACTCAAACAACATGGGTTTGAACTGCATGGGTCCACTTATGTGATTTTTTTACAGTACTATAAATGTATTTTCTCTTATGATTTAACATTTTTTTTCTCTAGCTTACTTTATTATAAGAATATAGTATATAATATATATGTCAACAGTAAGCTATTATTTAAATGTGGGGGGAGTTAAACGTTACACATGGGTTTTCAACTATGCAGGGAGTCAACCGTAGAATTATTTGGAAAACTTTAATTAGGCTTCACTTTATACCATTTTTATATTTGTTTCTTAATATTGTTTCAGGTCATGTCTACATTTATTGGTTTCTAAGCCTGCAGGCCTAGGACTCATCTGTAAAGTTGGCCTACTTTTACAGTAACAGCTAAATGCTCCAGTAACTCAGGCCACTTGATAATCCTCTAGCCGAGATGCCATGCATCAGTTCACACTTGGTATCACAGCTTCCCACTGCTGGCTGGGTGTCATCATTACTGCCTAGAGGCTCCTGATAATACTATTTAACAACAGGGGCCTTTTCTGAGTGGCTGACTCCGGCCCTGTGCTATTTTTACAAGGAATGAAAGTCAGCCTACATAACTCTCAAACTCCTCTGTCTCCTCTCATTTATCTGTGCATTGTTCTCAGAGGCCAGTAAGAAACTGCCCTCCTCACAATTAATTTATCTTTGGATCAGAGGTACTGTAATTGCTTATGTGCAGACCCAATGTCTGAAAACTGAATCAAAATAAGCTAAAATATAGATGAAAACGACATCTTCGAATTAGAAGAAAACCAGACTCACGTCTTCGGAAGATCAGAGATATCATTTAGAAGAGTCATGGCTGCCTGGACCATGGCTATGGAGGTGGCCACATAGCCAGCCTCTGTAGAAGACAGGTGATCAAAGGAAACTATTAATGAAGTATGCATTCGACAACACCCAAAAACCAAAGGGCTGATTTGATATCTAACTCCAGGTATACAGAATTTGCTCAATAAATACTCTGTTCACTTAAAACTAATAATTAATATTCATATAGTACTTACTAAGTTAGGATCTGTTAGTAAGTGCTTTAATTTTATTAACTTCATTTAATTCTCCCAGCAATGACATCAAGTCAGTCCTATTTTTTAATCCCCATTTTACAGGGGAGGACACTGAGGCACAGACTCGAAGTCAGGCAGCGGCTGAGCTGGGAGCACACGGAGCTGCCGCGGGTCCGTGGCTTGTGCCCTATGCACTGCCTCTGGCCAAAACTGAAGCCAATGACCCTCGTTCCTTGTTTCTCTATTCACACACCAGGCTCCAATTAAAAAAAAAGATTCAATTTCTTTAAGAAAAACAACTGAGTAACTTTAAAAGAAGTCTAACTTTAAGAAGTAGCTTTAAAAGAAGTCTATAAGCAAGTGGAACTTTAGTGTTTACAATTCTGCCAAATAATAAAAATATGGTGAATTTATCTTAAAAAGCCTGGTGGGAATCTGAAAAGAAGGCAAGATACAAAGATATCTTTGCCATCTGGCTTGATTGAAACTGCAAAACATACCCCCTCTGAGCTATCAGAGGTGTTGGTAATTAAACTGGTAATTATACTAGAATTCACAAGTAGGACTCTGTAGAGTTCTGTAAAATTCATACCAAAAGTTCTTGAACTTTTTGGGTGACAGATCCTTTCAACCACCTATCAAAAGCCTTTACCCTCTCCAGAAAAATACACACAGGCACACACATTTTACAAACAATGTCAGCGTGTTCACTTGGCCCACAGCTTTGTTATAACTTCACTGCTTTAAAGTGACCCTTGAGTATGGGAATAAAATAAATGTCAACCAGCCCCTTTTCTTATTAATATTAAAATATGCTACTCAGAATTACTAAATTATCCTAAAAAACAAAACCAGGGGGATGGATATAATAATAAAATTAGATTATAACAATTTCAATCCTTCAACAGAATAATTTATATTATTAAATAATTTGTGCAAGTTTATTTCTAAAACAATGAAGCTTTAGAAAAAAACCTCGCAATACTGCTTTATACCTTAAGACAATGAAAAACTCCCCAGCAATCTTAAGTCATATGTGAAATACCTGGTCCTTTCACCTGAGTACAAATTCTCATGTTTGGTTTGTTCCTCTCAGGACTAAAGCCTTGGCTGTATCCTTGACCAAAGAACGTCAATGTAAACGATGAGGCATCAATCTGAGAAGAAAGCAAGCAAAGGCCTTATTTAATAAATATGTCATTTCCTCCCTGAACATGGTAAAACCTACTACTCTACTTAATATGAGACATTTTCAGTAGATGAAAACACCATTATTCTGCCAGAACACCCTATCACCCTTTAAGCATGGGACAAAAATCAATTCTTGGAAGATGCAAGTTTTGACGCCTGGTTGGTGCTGGGGGAGGGAGGTGGTGCAGGACAGACGGTCCTTAACCTGGGGATTCCACACAGACAGCACCTTGAAAACAGCAGTTTCAGAGGAAAAGCTAGGATGGTGGTGGCGGCAGAATGTGGTAATCTGGTTTCAGGTATCTGTTTGAGGAGACAAGACCAAACTAGCCAACAAGTTATGGAAACACAGGCCAGACAGAATTGCTCCACTTGGAGATATAAAAACCTGATTCAAAACATTCAATTCTAGAAGACTTATCCGAGCATCTTTCACAATCACTAAATTCAGAAATAAGATAATGAAGAATTCAGTTGTGGTAAAAAAAATTGTTATTAATGAGACAACACTAAAATACGGTTCCTGTCTTTTCTGGAGCTGACAGCTTAGTGGGGGATACAAATCTATGTATGTGTGTAAATATACACACATAGATCTAATAACAATGTGAGACATGAATTAAAAGATGCCAGACTAGTTCAAAGGAGGGTATTATTAAATCTGTTCGGTAGGACGGGGCAGGGTTTTGAAATGTGTACACACACACACACTCTAATGGAAGTGTACTACACAGAAAAGTGGCGTAGGCACCAGAAAGGACAAACCACCATGGAGAGGCAAGAAGGGACGCAGTATCACGGTGGGCCGGGGAACAGGGTAGCACTTGCGTATAAAAGGTGCAGACGGGGTCGGACGCACTTGCCCCCGCCCCGCCTCCCTGAGGCACATGGGCTAAGCTGAGCATAACCCTCTCAGGCTGGGCACATATTCAGCTTTAGAACAAATGTCTTTTTTTTTTTTTTTAAGATTTTATTTGAGCGAGAGAATGAGTGAGAGAGAGAGAAAGAGAGCGAGCGTGCACAAACTGTGGCAGAGGGAGAGGGAGAGAAGCAGGTATCCCACCGAGCAGGGAGCCCGATGTGGGACTCGATCCCAGGACCCTGGAATCATGACCTAAGCCGAAGGCAGACGCTTAACTGACTGAGCCACGCAGGTGTCCCTAGAACAATTTTCAACACGGTCTCTGTGCTGCTACTACCAACTAATCAGAGTTGGCATGAAAACTGAAACCTATCTGCCACCCAGGACTAGATCATGAAGGACTTCGCTCCTCTGGAGATAGACTTCCAGCCAGTGGGACTCTCGGGGTGTGAATCAAAATCACCCAAACCGGACTTGGAGCCTGCCCACCTCCACACTAGGGATCACAGCGTTGGCAGCATATTAACATGACCAGTTTTTAAAGAAAGCCCAATATTCAGGCCACATTCCAGACCAATCCACACTCAAATCCCTGGTCATCAGTTTTAGGCTCTTTGTCAAAGTTGAGAACCACGGCTCTGTACTTCCAGGCCCTACTCCACACCTACTGCATCAGAATGTTCAGACTCAAGGTCGGGACGTGTATGTGGAAAAGCTTCCTGGGGCATTCTGGTACCTAATCTCCCAGGTAAGAATCACTGCCCATGCAGTACGTCAGGGAACCAGGTTATGAAGATGACGACCAGGTCAGATCTGTCTTCCATCTTGGACAGCGGTGGGAAAAAATATTTGCAAATCACATACCTGATAAGGGATTAATATCCATATACAGACAACCCCTAAAAGTCAACAAGAAAAACACAAACAACCGATTCAAAAATGGGCAAAGGACTTGAATAGACATTCTCCAAAGAAGACCTACAAATGGCCAATAAGCACAGGAAAAGATGCTCCACACCACGAATCGCTGAGAAGTGCACATCAAAACCACAAGGAGATATCACTTCACACCTGTGAGAAGAACTACTATAAAAAATAAGAGGGTGCAGCTGGCTGGCTCCATTGGTGGAGCATGTGACTCTTGATCTCGGGGTCATGGATTTGAGCCCCACCCTGGGTATAGAGATTACTAAAAAATAAACCTTAAAAAAGGCCTGGGAAACAAGTATTGGCAAGGATATGGAGCAATGAGCACACTCGTGCACTGCTGGTGGGAAAATAACATGGCGGGGAGCCGTGGAAGAGTCTGGTGGCTCCTCAAAAAATTACAAATAGAGTTCCCACAGGATCCAGCAATTGCACTTCAGGATATTTATCCCAAAGAATTCAAAGGAGGATCCTGAAGATGTATTTGCACCCATGTTCACAGCAGCACTATTCAAAATGGCCAAAAGGTGGAAGTAACCCAAGGATGGATGGATGGATGGAGATGGGGGACGTATGAATGGGGTGTGTGTGTGTGGGGGGGGTGTCTGTGCATGTGTGGTGTGTGTGTATAAGTGTGTGAAGAGGAACTACTATTCAGCCTTAAAAAGGCATGAAATCTGACACCTGCTACAACACGGAGGAACCTTGAAGACATCGTGCTCAGTGACATAAGCCAGTCACAGAAGGACAAATACTGCCTGACCACTTGTACGAGGCACCCGGAGTGGACACATTCATAGAGACAGAGAGAACGATGGTGGCCAGGGGCAGGGGAAGAGGGGAAAGGCGAGTTATTGTTTAACGGGGACAGAGGTTCAGTTTTGTGAAAGGAAAAAGACCTGGAAGTGGGTGGTGGGGATGGTTGCACAAATGTGCTGCAGACCAACGCGAATTTGTATAAAACAAATGTTTTGAATAACAATATGGTATTGATATCACCGAACACTTAAAAATGGTTAAGATGGTACATTTTATGTCATGTGCATTTTACTACAATTTCAGGAAGAGAGGGAAAAGAAAAGGAGGAGCGGGGCAAGAGCCTCGGCTAAGTTGGGTATGATGGGTTTGGAGAAAAATCTAGAATGATGCCTACGTTCATGACTGGGCAGATGACAGTGCCACCAACTGAGATGGAAAACAAAGGAAGAGGAGTGTTTGGGGGAAAGAAGTTCAGATCATGACGTGTGCAATTTCAAGTAACCGAGGGACATCCAGGTCAAGATGTCCAGGAAAATAGGGCAGGTAATTGGCAGATCTAAGCGGGTCGGCTGAGAACACTGCCGAGATCACCTGAGGACAGTGGGAGGGAAGCGGACCCTCACAAGTGCAGGGACGGCAGAGGAGGAGAGTGGACACTTGCAAGAGTGATGGTCTCAGAAGCCAAGGGAGCGAGTATTTCAAGAAGGACAATAACGTCAGAGATAAGAGACTGAATAGGGACTCACAGCATTCAAAGCACTTAGCAGTATTCAGACCAACGTCGACTCTAGCGAGGGGAACACAGGGTGAAGGAGGGTCGAGGACTCCTCTCTGGGTTGGCGTGTGCACAGGCCGGGGAGAGGCGGGAGGAGCACGGCAGGGGAGACCGCGTGTGCACAGGCCGGGGAGAGGCGGGAGGGGAACGGCAGGAGAGACCGCGTGTGCACAGGCCGGGGAGAGGCGGGAGGGGCACGGCAGGGGAGACCGTGTGTGCACAGGCCGGGGAGAGGTGGGAGGAGCACGGCAGGGGAGACCGCGTGTGCACAGGACGGGGAGAGGCGGGAGGGGAAGGGCAGGAGAGACCACAAGGAAGTCCACCGTAAAGGTTAAGGCTCAGGCCGGTGTGGTTCTTGGGTCCACCGCATTCTAGCCACATGAACTTGGGCAGGGTAACACCTGCTCTGATGACCTCCTCAGCTGGAAAAAGTGGCTAATACCTTTACCTACATGATCATGGGAGGACTAAATGCGACGTAAAGCACTTAGCTCTGCGCCTGCCACACAAGAAGTGCTTGATTTTTAAAGAGCACAGGTGGCGGGATTTGTCTTGTACAGAATCCTTCCCTGAGAAGCGGAGAAGGTGGAGATGAGAGCAGTCGGACAGCAGGACTCCGCGGGGTGCACAACCCACGTTCTCAACTCCCATCAGTGAAGCAGGAGTTGAAACTGCGGGGGGGGGGGGCGGTTAGATCGTGAGGAAAGCCCGTGAGAGGAGATGGACAGATGGCTCATTAAAAGGAACAGGATCAGCAAATGCTGCTCAAGTTCCAGCGAGAGGGGAAGCTCATGGTCGGTGCGGGGGGCCTCCCGGGTGGTGCCCCGTGCAAGCGGGCGGAGCTCATGACCCGGGCCTGGGCCTGACTCGGGGTTTGTGAACCACGTGGCAGGAAGGAGGCGCCGGCGTGTGTGGAAGGGGAAGGGAAGCGCTGGGAAGGAGGGGGTACGGAGGAGAAAAATGAAGACTAAATGTTTCTGAGATGTCTAGGAAGTAAGGAGAATAAAACTTCAGAGCCAGATGACTGGGCTCTCCCCAGCTATTTACTCGCTGTAGGACCCTGGGCAAGTTACTTAGCCTCTGTGCCTCAGGCTCCTCACTGGTCAAGTGGAGAGAATATCTACGTTAAGGGTGTTGGGAAAAGACAGAGTCACCTAATTTACATAAAGAACATAAAAGCACATCTGAAACATAGTAAGTGCTCCATCAAGTTTTACCTGTTCTAGTAAATGCACTGAGGAAAAGTAAAAACAAAATAAAGAAAATTATTTAAGAGCTGTATACAAAAGAAAGGGTTACCTGTTTTTGTGTTGGACCTTGTTTTGAAAAATAACCAAAGGAGAAGAGCCATGGGAACTAAAAGAAAAAATAAAAAAACCCTCAGTGATATTTTTAAAAACTCATGGAAAATACTTCTAAAGACCTAATTTCATAAAAATACCACTTACTTTTATGAGAAGCTGCCTTCCAATGCCAAACTTCACAAAGAATAAAAAGAAAAGTCCCGCAAACATCAGCTTAATAACAGAGGTGATGCCTCCCACCGTAATATAAGCGGCGTACTGGACCTAGATGAGGACGTAAAGTCAGAATGTTACTCCCTACTTCTGTAGACTACGTAATACAAGAATGTTAGCTATTTAGAACTTCCTCTGTGGTCATAAACAGTCCGCAAAAGCAGTTTCCACTTTATGAACGTGTTATGTTCTAAAAGCTTGTTCAGAAACCAGACATTGGGAGCCTATTTTTTAAAGAAATTGTTGCAAATGGTAATTAGCTTCCTTGACCTGAACACAAAAGTCTCCATGATCCATACATAAAAAGCCCACAAGAATGTACCTAAATTTAGTAATTACACATTATAAGATACAGATTCTACTTACAACCTCTTCTATGAGAAAATGATCTTTTAAATTGAGATACAGTTTCCTCTTTTATCCCCCCTGTGGCATGCTTTAGCTTTGGTCCTGCTTTCTTTCTTTTTCTTCCTTTCATTTTTTTAATTTAAATTCAATTAATTAACATACAATGTATTATTAGTTTCAGAAGTAGAGGTCAGTGATTCATCATCTTATATAACACCCAGGGTTCATATAACACATACCCTCGTTAATGTCCATCACCCAGTTACCCTAACCCCCCACCCCCACCCCTCCAGCAACCCTCAGTTTGTTTCCTATGATTAAGAGTCTCTTGTGGTTTATCTCCCTCTCTGATTTTGCCTTGTTTTACTTTTTCCTCTCTTCCCCTATGATCCCCTGTTTTGTTTCCACATATGAGTGAGATCATATGATAGCTGTCTTTCTCTGAATGATTTATTTCGCTCAGCATAATACCCTCTAGTTTCAACCACGTTGTTGCAAATGGCAAGATTTCATTCTTTTTGATGGCTGTGTAATACTCCACTGTACATATTTACCACATCTTCTTTAACCACTCATCTGCTGATGGACATCTGGGCTTTTTCCATAGTTTGGCTATTGTGGACATTGCTGCTGTAAACAGTGGGGTACAGGTGCCCCTTCAGATCATTATATTTGTATCTTTGGGGTAAATACCTAGTAGTGCAATTGCTGGGTCGTAGGGTAGCTCTATTTTCAACTTTTTGAGGAACACAGTTTCCTCTTCAAGTCTCAGAAGTGGGAGCAATTATTTCCCACACCAAAAGGAATAAGATGTTACTCCAGAGGTCGGAGGTCGCAAGGAGAGGCGAACCCAGACATCTCACAAGCAACAGAGTACCCTACCAGCTAAAACTCACAGGAGGGGTTGCTGGGTGTTTATGACACCAGCATTCCCTGGACTAAATTTGCTTCTGTTCCATTTCACTAACAAGGTATGCAGCTGACCAGATGTGAATTATGGGGGAGGCTATCTCTAGCCCCATAAAATGCAAAATGCTTTATACTACTGATTCTTACCCTTCCAGAAACTGAATCCTGCATTATTTAGCCAGCTTTTTTTTTTTTTTTTGCTTTGTAAACATAAAAATCCTACATTAAACAAGTACGGGAACGATAATGAACAGTGTACTCTTCATTAAAAATTAAATCGCATGCACTTACAGGTGATTGCTCTAAATTCTCAAGCAAGTAACGCTGAGTCCGCCTCACAACAGACACATCTGCTCCCAAGAAAGGAATAGAATAGCTGTTCAGCTCTCTGCAGTAAGAAATCGGCCACCTACAAGACAGACCCACAGACCCAAGAATATGTTGCATTTTCTCCACTTAGTTAACTCGGCAAAGTTCTGAATAAAAAATGTAACTTTTCTTGAGGCAGTAATGACAAGAAAGACGGCAGATCTGCTCTCAATTAAAATTTATCTATCTGTCCTGTGTTCTCTACACCTACACCAAACAAGTGACAAGTGGGACAGAGCAGTATTCTTCACACCAAGGGCACTTAACACATATGTTCTACCCCATCAATCTCCCTAGACAGAACACTCATTTCAACAGCCAAACCCTAGTATGAGTTTAGAGTTCTCACATAAAAAAAGTTTTCACATAAAAGTGCTATTAATAGGGGTGCCTGGGTGGCTCAATTGTCTGCCTTCAGCTCACGTCATGATCCCAGGGTCCTGGGATAGAGCCCTGCATCAGGCTCCCTGCTTAGCAGCAAGTCGGCTTCTCCCTACTTCTGTACCTCCCACTCCCCTGCTTGTGTTCCCTCTCTTGCTGTGTCTTTCTCTGTCAAATAAATAAATAAAATCTTTAAAAAAAAAGTGCTAATAATAGATAATCTACATAAGATCATACTTATTAAAATGGTGGTTTTACTGCACAAAATTTAACTGATGTTTGATTTTGATAGTCATAGTAAACATTTTAGCACAAAATTCATCTTCTCCCAGAGTCCAAATATATTATTATATATGAAGTACTTAAGCTTAGGATAATATATTAATTATATTTTATTTAGCTAGGAAGACAATCCTGAATTCACTACAAAACAGTCTCAGGCTTTTCTAAGTAGCATACTTTATAAACCACATCACCAGCAATATACTTAGACTTGATATACTAAAGAATAGATTTTGAGGCGCCTGGGTGGCTCAGTTGGTTGGGCACCTACCTTCAGCTCAGGTCATCATCTCAGGTCCTAGGATCGAGTCCCGCATCAGGCTCTCTACTCAGCAGGGAGTCTGCTTCTCCCTCTCTCTCTGCCCCTCCCCCTGCTTGTGCTCTCTCACTCTCTCTCTCTCAAATAAATAAAATCTTAAAAAAAAAAAGAATAGATTTTAAGTTACTATACCTTCTTTTCAATTTTGAACCAACAATTGGGACAGGTTTCAGATTTGACTCATTTCTCAGTTTTTTCAAATTACTTTGATCTCCAAAACCATAAACTGCAGACTTCCAGGTACCATCGTGAATGCACAACCCCTAATAAAAATTCAAAAGGTAAAGAAACATGTCGTAAGGGATAACTACTAAAATGTAAAACCAAGAAATTTATAATTGTTTACAGAGAACATTTTGCCTCTATTTCAGCTAGCCATAATCCCTTACTTAATAATCTTGAGATGAATTTTCAGGCAGGACCAACACTCATTAGCTTGATCATATTCGGTATTTATACCCACGTATGCTCTTTCTTCTTCCTTCCTACCATCATTTATGCTCCTTTTAAATGCCACTAAGTTTTACCTCTGCATTTTCACTCAACTGACCATATTCCTTCAAAATTAACCCTTCTAATTCCTATCCCTATGCTGATTCATCAAAATCTCAAGCTGTGTTCCTGAGCACGTTTACGCAACAGACACAATGTGCAGACCTATCCCGGCCCCGGCGTACCCGTTGCCCCACCACCCCCAACACCCCTTACTCTAGCCCCAAGTTAACCCCAAATGCCTTCCACATAAGTCTTGTTAAAATATTTTTTTAATTTTAAGGCTCATTAACATGATTTATATTTCAATTTCTTTCCCCACTTCTTCAATTTCTTTCTGGAACTGTAGCCAGCATAGAATCCTTGCTTGATCTTGACCAGACTCATTCGTTCCCTTGTTTCTCATCCTTCAGTGCTTTCCATTCTTCCAACATAATTAGACCCTGCACGACCCTCACCTCCAATGCCCACTAGACGTGAGCAGCAGAAAGGAGAACACAGGCAAGGGTATGAGCTCGGAACCCAATGTCTCAGTGCCGACTCCTCTTTACCCAACCTCTACATGGGCCTTTTAATTCTCTGTTACAGAAATGTTTTAAACTTCATTTATAATTCTGTATATATTGTATATAACTGTTTTAAGGCCTGCCTTACATGTAGTTTACCTTGTTCGAATGAACAAAGTTATTTAGAAATATTTATTCAAAACCAACTTTGTCATAAGATTTTGAAAGAGGAGTATCAGTAAAGCTGATGTGAAGATACTGTTGCTTGTTAATAAGCAGAGTAAGAGAAACAAGAAAACCATCAGAAGATTCAGGTGTTCATATCAGAGCTTTGATGACACTGGAAGGCAGAGAGACACTAAACTTAATTTCCATTTTGATATAGATTAGTATCTTCTGTAGTGTTAAAATAAACAGAGCTACAAGTCTGAGGGGTTTCTATGTGAAACTACTCTAAATCTGGGCCCAGTCAACGTGACCTATTTGCAAACATAAAGATTCCCAGGGGCACCTCGCTGGCTGTCAGCGGAGCACGTGACTCTTGATCTTGGGTGTAGAAATTACTTGAAAATATAAGCTTTAAATAAAAATAAAAAAATAAAAGATTTCCAAATACCAGGAGAAAACAGCTTTTTGAAAACCTAAGAATATCTTCTTATACAAATAAGCCATCAAAAAGGCACAAATCACATTCCATTTTTAAAAACTGTTTACCTTATTGAAAAACATAAAGTACACAAAGCATAAATATACAATTTAATGAAATTATGAAACAAATATCCCTGTAGCACAGAAGGCCCTCCTTCTGTCCTGCTTCATGGTAATAAAGACAAATACCTGCTTTTCCTTAGTTTTACCACCTAAGTATTCATTCCTAAACAGTAAGTGAATTTTGCCTGTTTCTAAACTTTACAGAAATGGAAGCACACAGCCTTTGAGTTCAGCCTTTTATGCTCAAAACTGTGATGTTAAGATTCATCATGTGTTAGAAATAACTCCTACTATGGAAATGAAAAATTACATGGAAAAATATGAAAACGGAAACCTGACAGTCTAAAACCTTTGGGACATAGCAAAAGCAGTTCTAAGAGGGAAGTTCATAGCAATACAGGCCCACCTCAAGAAGCAAAAAAAATCTCAAATACACAACCTAACCTTACTCCTAAAGGAGCTAGAAAAAGAACAAACAAAACCCAAAACCAGCAGAAGGAAGGAAATAATGAAAATTAGAGCAGAAACAAATGACACAAAAACTAAAAAGCAATAGAAGCGATTGATGAAACCAGGAGCTGGTTCTTTGAAAAGATCAACAAAATTGATAAATCTCTAGCCAGAACCATAAAAAGAGAGAAAGGACTCAAACAAAATCACACAAGAAAGAAGATAAATAATAACCAACACCACAAAAATACAAACAATTGTAAGAGAATATTATGAAAAACTTGGGATGCATGGGTGGCTCAGTTGGTTAAGCGTCTGCCCTCAGCTCAGGTCATGATCCCGGGGTCCTGGGATCGAGTCCCGCATCGGAATCCTTGCTCAGTGGGGAGCCTGCTTCTCCCTCTGCCTGCAGCTCCCCCCTGCTTGTGCTCTCTCTCTCTCTCTGACAAATTTTAAAAAAAGATTATTATGAAAAACTATATGCCAACAAATTGGACAACCTAGATGAAATGGATAAATTCCTAGAAACATATAACCTATCAAAACCGAAACAGGAAGAAACAGAAAATTTGAACAGACTCATTACCAGCAATTAAATTGATCAGTAATCAAAAGACTCCCCAAAACAAAAGTCCAGGACCAGACGGCTTCACAGGTGAATTCCACCAAACACCCATTCTTCTCAAACTATTGCAAAAAACGGAAAAGAAAGGAAAACTTACAAATTCATTCTGAGGCCAGCATTTCCCTGATACCAAAGCCAGATAAAGACACTACACACACAAAAAAGAACTACAGGCCAGTAGCTCTGATGAACATAGATCCAAAAATCCTCAACAAAATACTAGCAAACCAAATCCAACAATACATTAGAAAGTCATTCCCCACAATCAAGTGGGATTTATTCCTGGGATGCAAGGGTGGTTCAATATTCACAAATCAATCATGATGTATCACCTCAGTAAGAGAAAGAAGACCATATGATATTTCAACAGATGCAGAAAACACACTTGATAAGGTACAACATCCATTCATGATAAAAACCCTCAATAAAGTAGGCTTGGAAGGAACATACCTCAAAATAATAAAGACCATCTATGAAAAACCCACAGCTAACATCATCCATAATGGGGAGAAACTGAGAGCTCTTCCCCTAAGATCAGGAACAAGACAAAGATGTCCACTCTCATCAGTTTTATTCAATTTAGTACTGGAAGTCCTAGCCACAGCAATCAGACAACAAAAAGAAATAAAAGGCATCCCAACTGGTAAGGAAGAAGTAAAACATCTACTATTTGCAGATGACATGATACACTACGTAGAAAACCTGAAAGACTCCACCAAAATACTGCTGGAACTGATAAAAGAATTCAGTTAAGGGGCGCCTGGCTGGCTCAGTCAGTTAAGCAGCAGCTCTTGATTTCAGCTCAGATCATGATCTCAGGGTCCTGGGATCGAGCCCCGTGTGAGGCTCTGTGCTCAGTGCAGAGTATGCTTGAGGATTCCCTCTCTCCCTCTGCCCCTCCCCCTGCTCTCTCCCTCTCTCTCTCAAATTAAAACAAAACAAAAGATATTCAGTTAAAGTCTCAGGACCCAAAATCAGTTACGCACAAATCTACTGCATTGCTATACACCAATAATGAAGCAGCAGAGAAATCAAGGAATTGATCCTATTTATAATTGCACCAAAAATAATAAAATACCGAGGAATAAACTTAACCAAAGAGGTTAAACACCTGTACTCTGAAAACTATAAAACGCCAAGGAAAGAGACTGAAGATGACACAAAGAAATGGAAAGACATTCCATGCTCATGGGTTTGAAGAACAAATATTGTTAAAATGTCTATACTACCCAAAGCAATCTACAGATTTAATGCAATCCCTATCGAAATAGCAACAGCATTTTTCAGAGAACTGGAACAAACAATCCTAAAATTTGTATGGAATTTCTGGGGCACCTGGGTGGCTCAGTCAGTTAAGCATCCAACTCTTGGTTTCAGCTCAGTCATGAGTTCAGGGTCCTGGGATCGAACCCAGTGTTGTGCTCCATGCTGAGCATACAGTCTGCTTGAGATTCTCTCTCTCTCTCTCTCCCTCTGTTCCTCCTTGCTTGCACTCTCTCTCTCAAAACTTAAAATTACAATTAAAATTAAAAAAATTTGTACGAAATCTCAAAAGACCCTGAATAGCCAAAGCAATCTTGAAAAAGAAAAACACAACTGGAGGTATCACAATTCCAGACTTCAAGTTATATAACAAAGCTATAGTAATCAAAACAGTGTGGTACTGGCACAAAAACAGACACAGATCAGTGGAACAGAATAGAAAACCCAGAAATAAACCCACAGTTATACAGTCAATTAATCTTTGACAAAGCAGGAAAGTATCCAGTGGAAAAACACAGTCTCTTCAACAATGGTGTTGGGAAAACTGCACAGCCACATGCAGAAGAATGACACTGGATCACTTTCTTACACCACACACAGGAATTAACTCAAAATGGATGAAAGATCGAAATGTGAGACCTGAAAACCATAAAACTCCTAGAAGAGAGCACAGGGAATAATGTCTCTGACATCAGCCATAGCAACATTTTTCTAGATATTAGTCTCCCAAGGAAAGGGAAATAAAAGCAAAAATAAACTATTGGGAGGACTGCATCAAAATAAAAAGCTTCTACACAGTAAAGGAAACAATCAACAAAACCAAAAGACAACCTACTGAATGGGAGAAGGTATTTGCCAATGACATATGCATTAGGGGGTTAGTATCCAAAATACACAAAAAAACTGACACAACTCAGCACAAATAATGCAATTAAAAAATGGGCAGAAGACATGAACAGACATTTCTCCAAAGAAGACACACAGATGGCCAATAGATAAACTCATAAAAAGATGCTCATTATCACTCATCATCAGGAAAATGCAAATCAAGGGGCACCTGGGGGGCTCAGTTAGTTAAGCCGTCTGCCTTTGGCTCAGGTCATGATCCTGGAGTGCTAGGATCGAGTCCCACATCAGACTCCCTGCTCAACGGGGGTCCTGCTTCTCCCTCTGACCCTCCCCATTCTCATGCTCTCTCTCTCATTCTTTCTCAAAT